CCTGCTCACTGCACACCCTTAGCTGGGTGGGTGGAGGAGACACACCAGTAAGGGCTGAGACTCAACCGGTATAAAGAAGAAGGCGTTTGAGGCTTGCTGTTCTCTGAAAGAAGGGTCACACCGTCAAGCCTGCAGACGTCAAAGGCCCCTCAGACGTGGGTGTCCAAGCTTTGCCTCAGAGGCCCCAGGGGCATGGACGGTCAAGGGGCCTATTCCGGGGGCCCTAGGGTGGCTGCGCTCACTGGAGGGTGTGTGGGGTATACGCAGGCCTGTCCGGAGCCCCAGGGACCCTTGTGCTCCGGCCTTGGTGCCCCTCAGAGGGGCCCAGTGCGGGATGGTACCGGGCCGCCCTGCTGAGGTTCCAAGCCAGCTTGTGCAGGGTCTGTGTGCATGCATGTGTGATGGGGGGTCCGCTGTGCACCGGGCACTCACTCCGCCAGGCAGACAAGACCTCCAGCACGTCCCTGGTGGGGCCCCAATGGTGATCAGTGCAGACGGCCGTCGACAAGGCCAAGGACCAGCTGTTCCCAGGCCCCCGGCCCGGCAAAGGGCAGGCCCTTCCGGGCCCCACCCTGAAGTCTGGCTCTGCCTAGGGCCGAGTGCACCGCGGTTGTTTACGGACAACCAGAGCAAAGACAAACATCCTGGCCGGGGCCACACCCAGGGAGCCGGCTGCCTCCCAGAAAGGCCCTTTTGGACGGCGGGGTGGGGGTAGGGTCAGAATGGGCCTCGTCCCCCTGCAGGGCTGCCTTTGGGCGCCCCTGTTCACCCGCTGTTCACAGGGCCCGCGGCGGCCGTGCCGCAGAGGGTCTGACAGCGTGGCTGTCGCCCCCGAGTGTGCCCGGCCGTCATCAGGGCTTCCGACCCCAAGTCAGGGCTGGGGCTCTGCGTCTGGGCAGACTGAAGAAGCAGCCGCCTCGTTCCAGGAGGACAGACCCAGGCTTCTCTAAGTGGGGCAGGCCGGGTACCTGATGTGTCACCTGGGCCACAGTCTGTCCTGCCCCTGGCACTCCCCAGCTGGGCTCCACCCCCCTCCACACGAGGCCAGTCCCCCCTCGGTTGCCTCCGTCACAGGGCTCATGGAGGCGGGGCTCCGCTCTTCCTGAGGGCGGAGCCTCCCTGAAACACCCTGTGTGTCCCAGTCTCCGCCCGGTGGCTGGGGTCCCAGGCTCTTCCCGGGTTTTGCTCACTCTCCATCCTCATCTCCATGGCGGAGGCGCCGAGCCTGCCGCCCCCTGGCCCTCCAAGCCCAGCGCCTAGGGGCCCAGTGGGCCCGGCTTCCACCTGCGACTGGCCAGCCCTGCTGGCTCCCCAGTCCCCGAGGACTCTGCCACCCCATTTCATTCGCTGTCCCCCACCCACGCAGGAACAGCCCTGGCTCTCCCGGGGGTCCTTTTTGCTCAGCACCAGAACATGTGGCTTCTAACCCGACAGACCCACCAGGAGGTCCCCCGAATGCCCCCAGAACACACATCTGCTTCAACACTTTTTATTTCCTTTGCGGTGGGACCAGTGAGAGCTGGAAGCGTCGCCGCGCTGCGGGCAGCAGAGGGCACGGTATCTAGCCGGGGGCCCAGGGCCGGAACCACCCGGCAGGGGATGGTGTTTAAAAACCAAAATGAAACTCAGAGAAGGAATCACTGGCCACAGACACAGGTCATGTCTCGGTGGCGGTGGGAATGTCACGAAACTGCCCCTTGGACAGCAGTTTCCTCTTTAAGCCAAGACGCCGGACAGGAGATGGCCAGGTGACTCGATCTCGCTGGAGCCTGAATCTTAGGAAAGCTCCGGTGGCCAGCTGCCTGCGGCCGGTTTGCCGGCCCCGCCCTGCCCCGCTCCCGGAGGCCCAGGGAACCAGAGCCCGGCTCGGGTGGTCCTCACACAACCGGCGAGACCGGATCCCAGGTGCCGAATACCTTGCTCAGGAGCCCCTTGGGCCACGTTCACACCAACACACACCTGGCGTGGCGCCGAGGTCAGGGTTCATGGTTGATTTTTCTTCATGGCCGGGAGGGGGGGGGGCGAGTGAATGGCACAGAAAAGGGGCAAACAGGCACCTCAGGGGAGGGAGCGCTGCAGTCCTGAGCAGGACGCCTTTCTCGGTCAAGGGCACTGAAGGCCAAGGTCAGTGGTCTCTTCCCTGAGTGGCAGGTGGGGTCCCAGGGGCTAGGTAAGCCTCCTCAGGACAGCTTTTACCCAGAGTCCCCGAGGCTGTCTCCTGAGCTGGGAGTCACCGCCCCCTCCACAGGCAAAGAAACTGAGGCTCGCTGTTGGCAGGCCACGCACGGGAAGGGTTGGGGGCAGGACCGAAGCCGGGTTCCTGACCCCCGGGTAAGTGTCGTCCTGAAAAACTGCGCTGCCCATCCAGTACAGGGGGCTGCCCTCCGGCTTTGCAACTTTGGGGGAAAGGAGCTGCTAGTTCCGGTGGGTCCCTCTGAGCAGGGACAGACACTCTCACGGCCGGGGATGCCTTGCCGGCTGGATCAGACACACAGGGCTCACTGCTCCTGGGCTGCCGGGTTCCAGGGTCTCCAGGGGGAGTGGCCAGCCTCAGGCCAGATCAGTGGACTCCCAAGCTTCCCTGCGGCCGTGGCCCAGCCCAAAGGCCACTCTGGGCTGCACCCCAAAACCAGGTGCCCCGTGACCCCCTCCAGCTCCCTGCTGGGGGAGGAGAGGTGGGACGGAGGGTGGAGATTCCCCATGAGCAAAGCTGGGAGCAGATTCCCATCACCCACGGGGCTGCCCCCTCCCAGTTATTCCTCCCAAACCGGAAGCGACAAGAGAGCCCAGGGGGACCTCCGAAAACTGAGGGGAGGACCAGGGCGCCCCCTCCTGCCTCGCCATGTTCCAGTCTTTGCCCCTTTTCCTTTGTCCGCCCGTCAAAGGGTGGAGTTGGGCCACCTCTGCCAGCCACTGTCACGCAGCCCGGGAAACCCCTGTATCCCGTGCAGCTGCCTGTCCCCGAGGGGCCCCAGGCAGGGCTCCTACGGAAAACCTCAGGACATGGGGTTGGGGTCTTGGGTTCAAACACCTCCACCCTAAGTCACGTGGCCACTCGACCCAGCACGGGGCTGCCCCTTCCGGGCTGCTGGCCCGTCCCTACCCCGCCCACCCTTCCCAATGGGCTCGGGATGACTCCCGTAGCTACGAGTTCCGGTTTCTTCTGGCTGGATTTGTGTCCGGAACCTGGGGTGAGTACACAAGGTCCCCTTCCCAGCCCAGATAACCCAGCACCAACAAGACCCCAACCCAACCGCCTGCGTGTCCGCCACCCTGCTGGGCCCAGCTTCCTCTCTTCCTGGGCCGGCCCCCACCACGGCGCCCCTTCCGACCCAGCAGGCACGCATCAGAGGCAGCCCGGAGGCCTGAGGACACCGGCAGCGTCAGCACCGACACCAGCACGGGGAACTTAGGCACGCACGCCAGCCAACAGCACTAAGTGTCATTTTAAAAAATGGGTTAAATAAGCAGCGTCTCGGAGAGCCGCGGCGCGGGCTGATTACGCCGCCTGCGCATGCTGGGGTGGGAAGGATGGACGGCTAATGACTGAATTATCACCCCAATGCGTGTGAGGCTGGGGACGGTGCTGGGCGGCAGCTGCCTCGGGCTTTCGGCTGGTTTCCTCTAATTGCATCCAGATGAAGGGAGCCCGGCGGGCAGGCCTTCCCCAGCCCACACAGCCGGGGCTTACGAAGTCCTGGCTGCTCTGAGATGCGACCTGCCGGGGCCCACCGAGGGTAGGGGTGGCACTTGGTAGAGGATCTTGGGGAGCTGTGGGGTGAGGGGCTGGGAGATTCGGGATAAAAGCTTTGTCCCGGGACTCTCCAAATGAGGGGATCCCTGCACGATCCCCCCACCACCAGCAGCCCAAAGGCACAAGGTATTGCAGAGCACTGCAAGACTCCGCCGCTGCAGCCCAGGGTGCGGGGCAGCCTCTCCCTTTCCAGGGGAAGCCTTGCCCCCGCAGCAGAAGGCCTGGTCCAAAACCATTGTTTGGACCATGGCCTCCTGGCAGCGGCGAGGCTGTGTCGCCTGGCAGGTCCTCCGCCCTCCCCGAGTTCCCAGGCCTGCTGGGTCATCACGCGGCCCCTCTCACTATGGAGGCAGACGGTCCATTGCCACCCCTCGTGACTGGCTTTGGCCAGCGGGATGGCAGCAGGTGTGGCTTCCGCCAAGGATTGGAAAGGCGTCTGGGCATTTCTGCCCGAGTCTTCGCCTTGGCCCAAGCTGGCCTACAGAACAGGTGCAGGGACACGGAGCAGAGCCGAGTCTGACCTCGACTCTGGCAGGCACCCCTCTGGCGCTTCACAGCAGGCTGACCCCCGGCACGGGAGCAAGCCCGACCCAGACCTGAACGGCCCAGCCTAGCCGGACAAGTGGCAGGGCACCCCAAGAGCTGGGCACGGTTGGAGACCCAGGATGGTCTCCCCAAAAGGCTGTTGGGCAGAGGGACCAGGAACTTGGAAGGACGGTCCCCTTGCCTGTGGGAGGACCTGGGCTCAGGTTGCAGAGTCCCAGGAGGCTGCTCACTTCCCCCCCTTCCTGTTGAAACTTTCCCCGTCTGCCGAAACGCTGGCCAGGAAGAAGCTCTCAGGTGGGGCTGTGGCCCTGTAACCTCACTTCACCGGGCCTCCTCCCCGGAAGTGGCTGGAGGATCCAGGCGTTCTCGCTCCCAGCAGTCCCAGGGGTCTGTGCAGGTGGCCGGGAGTTCTGCCTGCCCTGGTCTGCCCGCGTCCGAACCTCGAGGAGGAGGGACGGCAGGTGGGGAGAGCCTGCCTCCTGCCCGGGAGCAGAGGGGCCCGGACTGCAGGCTTCTTCCCTGCGGTCCCTCCACCTCCCTATCTTCAAGTGCCTTGGTCCTGGTTGGTCTGCGAATATACTACCCTCACTTCCCCCGACACAGTGATTCTCTCAAGGGTTTTGCACACACACCCCTCCCCCACCCAGCCCTGCATTTGCCGCATTTGGTGAAGTTGACCTTAACATCAAAGAACCTCATGTAGAAATTCCTCAACTCGGGAGGAAGCCAGAGTTTCCATGTTGTGGCTCAGCTCATGGGCAGGTGGCTTCCTTCACAAACCAGGGTGTCCAATGTCTACAGGGACAGCGTGAAAGCCCCCATCTTCTCGAACACCCCCAGGGACCACACCTCCCTCTCCGGAAACCAGTGGGGCATTTTTTGGGGGCAGGTGTCTTCTCATCAGGGCTGCTGCTGCAGCTGGGGAAGCACTGGCCAGCACAGGGAGCAGGCCTGGCCAAGGGGTGTGTCCAGCCACAACGGGTCTGGGCCCGGAGGGGGCCCCCCTTTTCCTGTCCCTGCCGTCCCCGCTGCCAGGCAGTGCCCTGCTTCTGCAAACAGGGCTGGGGGGCACGGAGCCTTGCTGGGACGGATGAGAGGAGAGGGCCGCGAGGAGCCAGCCTGCTGCGTCTCCAGGTGGCGGGGCTGTGTGTTCCAGTCCCACCGTTTCTCGAGAGCCGAGTTATCTCTGGGTGGCTGTCAGGGCTTCGTTCTCTCACTTCCGGACTCCATTTTTCGTCGTTAATATGAAAATGTCCCCTTCATGTCGCCCGGAGGTGTGTCCTTTACATCTGGACCACCCCCTGTCCCATCCACGCCCATCCCCACCCCCTCCCGCATGCTTGGGACCCATGGTGAGGTCCCCTCAACCCTCGTCCAGTGCAAGGGGCCTGGCCTATCTGCGGAAACCGAAGCCTTCCCGAGGCGTCTTGGGGCCTTTCTTGCATTCTCCGGGGGGCTTGAGCGAAGGCGTCTCCACTGTGCCCCCACAGGGGCAGCTCTCCGACCCCGGGTGGCGGCCCGTGCACTCCACGGCGGGCATGTAGCCGCTGTCCCACATGCCGGTCCCGCACAGCTTACACAGGTCGTGCAGGCTGCAGGGGATCCGGGGCAGGAGGCGGAACTGATAGAGCAAACTCCTGGCCTGCGGAGAGAGGGGACGGGCGGTGAGGAGAGGCAGGGGGACAGCCGGTGGCCAAAGAGCAGGGGCAGCGATGGTTCACATCTGTGGGCCGCTGGTGTGCCAGGCTCCCCGGAGCCTGCCTCTGCCTTCCTGGCTCTGGGCTGTGAGCGAGGTGCCCCACGGTGGGGAACCTGTCAAACGACCCTGGTCATCTGTTCAGTCCCTCGGGGAGTGAGGCTCTTGGGGCAGGGCCACGTGGGTGATGGTACCGAGGAACCGGCAGCCTGGCCCACGCCTCCGCCACAGGTGCTGATGGCTGGGCCCTGGTGGGGAGCTCCCAGAACCTGGGGCCTGCGATCTAGGTGGGGCCTGAGCGGAGGCGGGGCTCTATTAGCAAAGGGGGCGGGGCTCTGTAAGTGCGGGGCGGGGCCGTCCCTCACCTTCCTGAGCACCAGCTCCCCGTTCATGTGCATTGCCAAGTTTCCAAAGTGCAGGAGCATCTGGTCGGTGGCCAGCTGCTGCTCGATGACGTCATCCCCGTAGATGGCCACAATGGCCACGCAGATGAAAAGGTGGAAGTAGTCCGTCTGAGGGGTGTGGAAGGTGGGGTTCGGGTCAGGTCCCCTGACCCAGCCCTGGGCCCTGACTGCAGGCAGGTGAGGCTGTCGGGGTGGGTTATGGGGCCCTGGGCAAACCACATGACCTCGTCTGTCCTCAGTCCCTCCCCCCCCACAGAGGGCCAATGTCAGTACCCATGACGGTCAGCAGGGACAGGCCTGCTGTGACACCCAAGGGGATGACATTGGTGCTGGCCTCCCACGTGCTTCTGGGACTATCCTGGGGGCCCTTTGGGGGCTCGCTGTTTGGGGAGCCCAGAACGCCCTTCCTCTGAAGGCCAGCCGGTGCTTGTTCTAACGGCCTACTGGGGAGAGTCTTCAGTTACAGTGGGTGTGAATGCCCGGTGACTGCACACTCCAGCAGCTGGGGCAACAAGCCAGAAAGAAGGGGCCTCTGGTGGCCACCCACCAAACACCCAGGCCGACCGTCCCAACCCCAGCCCCAGAGGTGACTCTGGTTTGTGGCTGAGAAAGGGGGAAGGAGGTCCTAACTGAGCGAGCCCGGCAGCCCCCTGCCAGTCCCCATGGAGTGGCACCGCCCAGCCCGCCACAGGAAGCCTGCACTTGATCTTGACCCCGGAGCATCCTGCCTGCTCCGCTGTCCGGACGCTCTGCCGGCATGTGCACTCTGATTCCAACGCGTTTCCGGGAGCAGAGGAAGGACAAGGAGCACCGGGAAGCCCGTGTTCAGTCTCCCGGGGTCGACCACCCAGACAGACAGAACAGGGATCCACACCCGGCCGGGTGGAACTAGAGGTGCCACTGCTGTCACGGCAGCAGAAGCTCCATGAGCCCTGGAGATGACACCCCCCGGCCGCCGGCTCTTCCCCGAACCCCCTGCAATGGTCTTGTTTGGGCTCAGGTCAAGCCTCTTGTGGCTGCGTGAACTCCAGCAGGTGGGGGAAGACGGCAGGGGGCTCCTGGGAGGGGGGTGTTCAGTCCCTCTCAGAGAGGACCGTGGGGCGGAGAGGGTACCACATGCCCTAAATCCAGCTGGACAGCAGCGCAGGCTCTGGGACATGGCCCAGGGCAGTCCAGCCCCCGGAGGCCAGCGAACTGCAGATGTTTAGAACAGAGCCTTTCTCTCTCCGGGTCACCACCTAAACCGTTGAAGGCACTGCCGACGGTGACCCCCCGACCCAGAGCTCACTCCTGACGAATTAGCGTACCCCTACCACCCTAATCTGATCAGTGAGAGGAGCCGAATGTGGCTAAATTTTGCCCGAAGTCTGACAATGATATGACCTTGATTTGTGGACGTCAGGTCAAGAGAGATGTCCCAAGGGGCCTCCCCTGGGAATTTCTACCAGGTGACGGTGACGGGGTCTCTGTGAGAAACGGCCCCACCTCTGGGGCAAAGCTCAGCCGGTACCATCAGCCCAAACGTGACGCAACTCGGGCGGCCATGTTGCCGCCCTCGCGGGTGCCTGTCCTGCCGGGTGGATGTCCCCCTGAACGTGCGGGGGGAGTTAGTGGGCACCCACCTGTCCCGTGGGTCGGGGAGTCGCAGCTGCGAGGGCCGCTGCAGTGGGAACAGGTCACGCAGAAGGGGGCCTGGCCCCCTCCTGGTGCGTCAAACCCGTTTTGTTTTAAAGGCTGACAGATTCAGAGACTTGCCTACCCTTGAGCACCGTCAGCTTGTCGTTCGTTGGGGCGTTAAAGCCCTGTGACAGGGTCAGCACCGGGCTCCTGGGGGACTTGCCGGGGAGACACTGAGTGCCGGAGCAGGCCGGGAAATCAGCCTGACTGGTGGGGGGCGGCAGGCTGGCCCCGGGCGCTCTGGCAGGGAAGCGGGGTTGTGGCCTGTGTTCTCTGGGCGGCCCCGAGGGGAGAAGGTGGGTGGGCACCTGCTCCCGCCCGTGGACACCAGCATCCTGGGCTGCAGGGGTGGGCCTGTCTGGCCCCTGAAGTGTCCTTCACACTGATCGGATGTGACAGAGACGAGCTTGGCGCCAGAAGGCGGTAATGAGGGCAGCCAGTGGGTGGTTTGCATCGGTTTCAACTCCTTGGGAGGCGAGCTGCGGGTCTGAAGCCGGCTCGCCCGTGAGGCAGAAGGTGGTGGCAGTGTGAGGGGCCCACCTGGGGCTGGGGGGGGGCGGGAGGTTTCTGAGGAGGGGGACCCCTGGGGACGTGCATGGTTAGGCTGGCCCCCGGCCCCCAGGAAGGCAGGGTGAGGGGTGGCGACGCCTGCTCCGGGGCACGGTCCTGGCCACCCCGCCGCGCCTCACCTGGTAGTGGGCCCAGCAGGCCTCCCAGACCCGCAGCGCCTCGGCCTCCGGGAACTCGCGCTTGAAGCAGAGCAGCAGCCAGCGGTGGCAGAACAGCATCTGCAGGCCGTCCTCGCCCAGCGCGACCAGGTGCTGGTAGAAGCGCGGGTGCATCAGCCGCAGCAGCTCCCGCAGGTACAGCTGCGGCGAATCAGGTCCGGTCAGCCCTCAGCCCCTGCCACTGCCCCGGGCCTCTTCCGGCCACCCCACCCTGGAGCGCCACCCGAGTGCGGGGCACCGGGCCACGCTGGGCTGCGTGTCTACACCTGCTTACTGTGTTCCCCGCTGGACCCCGACCCACACCGGTCTTTGCCGGTTTAGCCCAGATTGGAGATTGCGCAGGGGGCCCTGCTGTGGGCCAACCAGAGCTCTGTGAGGGGAAGACCCCCCAAGCTGCACTCACCCTGGGGTGGGGGCTGATTCTGACATTCCCTCTTTCCTGGGAACCCAGGGCCCATCCACCTTCCACTCAGACCTCAAAGTCCCATCATTTCCTGGAGCTGACAGAGCAGGGAGGGGCGGCTCTGAACCCCAGGACGCGCCATTCCCACACTAAAGGTCCCCACCCAGTGACATGGGACAAGACTGCGGCTGTTTGCTGCAGGGCCTGGCTGGGCTGCCGACCTTGCCAGCACCACTGAAAAATCAGTCTCCAGTGGGTGCCACATCACAGGGCCACATGCTTTGTGAGCGCGTCGGGGCCAGTGGCGTCAGACCCAGTAATTGGCTCCCCAGGTACCGCGGGAACCTGACATCGCGCAGAAGTGGAGAGGGGAGCCGGCTGGGCTGGCTGCGCAGGCTCTCCGGATCAAGTGGCGGGGCCTGGGGGCGGGGCTCAGTGACTCCCTGGCCCCTCCCACACAAGCAGCCCTTTGTCCCCCTGGACAGAGACAGGAGTGGGCATGCAGGCCCCTTGTCGGAACTGATCCTGTGGGTCCATCCCCACGGGCCTCTTTCTCCAACTCGTGGCCCACAGCAGGGTCGAGCCCACGAATGTGGCTGACCCCTCCTCACGACGTGCCTGAGCCCCTAACCAGGTGCCCCTCACCGGCCCACCTACACCTCCCTCCTCCCAGCCGCCTTGGCTCGGACCCTCTGCTGTGCTCTCTCCTCTCCCAGCCACAGAGCTCAGGGGCCCCCAACGGGCCCTCTATGGGACGAGCTCCTTGCCAGGGCACCAGGGTCCCACTGCTCGTGACACCTGTGGTCCAATGTGACCTGGCCACGCAGGGCCACTGCCCAGGACACACTGGGCAGCCAAGTCTCCGCAGCGTCCAGGGCCTGGCCCCTGCACAGTGGAGTCGACCTGCCCACCTGCCTTATTCCCCATCTGTATCCCCCCACCCCACCCGCTCCAGCACCCAGCACCCTCCCCTCCCTGTCTGCTCTCTCCACAACTGGGGAGTTGAGACCACCTCCCACTGCCTGCCAGCTGGCCGGGACTTGGAACCCCCAGACGCTTCTTCCAAGCGTTGCCTGCCCCCCGCTCCCAGCATCCAGTGCTGCCTGGCGTGTGGGTCACAGGAGGCTGTGGAGCAAAGGGAAGGCCGATGCCCGTGGGCAGAGTGTGTGACCACTGTCTGGTGGGCCTCAGGGTGGCTTCAGGAGCCCTGGGGACCCTGGCTGGGTGGCTGCATGTAGGAGGTGAGAGCCACCGGGGAGGGCCCCACGCCACCCAGTCTCTGAGCCTGCTGGGGTTGTGGGGTGGCGACGGAAGCAGGCTCCCTGGGACCAGGGAGCAGCACGCGGCCCTTCCCCAGAGGCCTGGGCTGAGCCCCCGCACCCCACTGACGGCACCCGCCCGGCTTTCCCGCTGACCCACAGCAGCCACACCACACGCAGCCACCGAGACTCTCCAGACATGTCCCCAAAGGCAGCCTCACCAGCTGCTTCTCCATGTCCTCGTCCCGAGGAGAGCTGACGAAGATCGTGTTCTGCATCAAGCCCACAAAGCACCAGAAGGTGTCCGATTCATCCAGGACCTCAGCCAGGATGGGCGCCACCAGGTCCGACATGCCCTGGGAGTAGCCGATGGCCGGGTTGTACACTGCGTAGTTCAACAGGATCCTCCTGGCGGCACAGCCCGGACGGCAGGTGGTCAGCGAGGGTGGCCATGACATGCCCACCCTTGCTGTCCTGACAGCGCATGTCGCCCCGGGGCCGGCAGAACCCTGGGCTGGAGACCCCAGGCTGCTCAACCCTTGTCCTTCACCTCCACCCCGGGGGCACCGTCTCCCAGCCTTGGGGAGGGTAATGGCCTGCAATTAGCCACTCACCAGGCCTCGAGTGGGGTGGGGGGCAGGGAGAGCGTGCAACTGATTTTCTTAATGGCCGATTGCCTGTGACAAAGCGGGGTCGGCAGGCACATTTTTATGGGCTAATTTCGTGCAACTATCAGCAGCAGAATGTCCAAGATCCCAGCCCTGCTCAGTGTGGCTTTATTACCCGGGGGACCACCCACTGGGAGACACTCAGGAAGGCTTGGCCCTGGTTCTTGTGAGCCAAGCAAGGCCTGGGTGGATGCCCAGGGGATGGTGGCTTTGCTGACACCCTTGGGAGAGACCTGCGGGCTTCCCCGGGACACCATGGCCACAGAGGCTGAGCGGAGCCCACTAAAGTAGCTAATGATTCTTTGCCTCTGGGGCGATTGTATGACCCCCACCCCCCGGCTCAGGAGCATCAGACGCTCATCCTCGTCCCAGAGGGTCACCCGAGGCTGGAGGGGTCTGGCGGGCACCTCATGCGCTCCACGTTGGGATTGCCTTCGCCGCGGAAGAACTGGTTGCTGCGATCCGTCCGAACCACGTCCTTGTCCACGGTGAATTGCACGTTCCGCCAGAACGCCCTGTGCTCCTCGGGGGCCATGGAGAGCCTGGGCCGCGCCGCGGGGCGCCCACCAGGGTCAGCGAGGGCCACGTGCACTTCCTCCCTCCCCACCCATACCCTGGATGGGAACTGGGGACCCTCCATCTGTCTCCCCGCTGACTCTGGGGTGACTCCTAAGGCGGTGCCCAGCACCGAGTGCGGCCCCGGGAGGAGACATGACTGCAGCCCAGGGACCTGCCAGGCCCAGATGGTCCTCAGCCATCCTGGCTCCCGCTGGGCCCCTGAGCTGCCCCCACCCGCTCACCACCCCACGTCTTGTTAAGCCTGGTGAAAAGAATGCTAAAACTGAGACATGTGAGCTACAGGGAGCCTGGGATAATGAGGGCAATCACGGTCTGGGGAGAACATTCTCGAAAGAGAAGGCGGGGATGGGCCGCAAGACACTTCGGTGCTGACTTGCCCCTCATTGCCTCTCTGAGTGCCCCTTCCCCCGCGTCCGGGCGGCTACCTTTTCTGCTGGATCTCGGCATATTCCTTCCGCTTCTGCGCCCGCAGCGCCTCCCTCTCCTCCGACGTGGACTCGTGGCTGTAATACCGCAGCAGGAAGGGCCAGACCTCCCCCCGGATTGACACATCAATGCCGCCGAAGAAAATGGCCTGGGGGAAGCGGCCGCGGTTTGGGAGGGGCCGACAGAGGGCCGCTCAGAGCGCCCCCAGGTCCCGGGAGGGCTGTGCTTTCGTGGCTTGGCTGCGCCTTCTGACAACTGACGCCTTGATTCAGCGGCCGCAATTTGCACTTGTTTGGAAGGGGAAAGTGCGGGCCCTCCATTCCCATACAGGACACAGCCAGGCTCATTTCAATGTCAATGCCCCCCCGGGGTGGCGCTCGGGAACGTGTGGTTCTCACGTCGCGGCCTAATCCGCAGGTCTGGACGGGCTGCATTTCACCGCGCGCTCTTCCAGACGGGCGGAGGCTGGACGCCCGCACCCCACGAAGGCGGCTGGGATTGCGGCCGACCGGAGGGGACCGGCCCCGCCCGCCCCGCCCCGGGCGGCCCCGCCCCTGGAGTTGGCCCCGCCCCGCCCCCGGAGGTGGCCCCGCCCCCGGTCTGGCTCCACCCTGCGGGCGGCCTCACCTTGCGCAGCTTGTACTCTTCCTCCACCTGGCCCAGCTCGTTCAGGTGCCGCAGCCAGGCGGAGACGTCCAGCCTGCGGTACATGCTCTCCTCGGGGTGCGTCTCGGAGGAGGGCAGTTTGGGGCGTCGGATGGAGAACTTCATACACGTCTTCTCGTCGGCGACCTGCTGGAGAGGACAGGGGAGAGATGAGCGTGCAACCGCAGGGGTCCAGGCCCGCGATGCTCTTGGGGGGGGGGGGCTGGGAAAGCCGCTCCCTCTCTCCTGAAGGGAGAGGGGCCTCTCCCCTGCATACAGCCCCCCGGGTGGCAGCCGTGATCACACGCAATTAAAATGAAAATACCTTCATCTTACACACGTTGCTTCCCCGGCCCTCTCCTGGCCCCCTGGCTGGCTCCCACCCACCGCCTGCCCCCGCCCCCCACTCTCCCTCGACCCCCAGCCGCAAAATGGAATTAATGCCTCGTTGGGCCCAACTTCCCTCTGCCTCTGCCGGAAGGGCCTGCAATAAATTACATGTGATTGGCCGCGTACAAAGGGGTCGCTGTTCGGCGGGCGGGGAGCCCGCCCGTCAGGCTGTCTCCATGGGCAGTCACGAATCCAGGGCAAAACTGCAGCTGACATTTAATTCAGAAATCAAAGGTTGTTCGGTGTAGGGAAAAGCCAGGCTACTGTAATAAGGGAAGCCAGCAGGAGGCTCGGTGGGAAGGAAGGGGGGTTTTCCAGTCAGCCCCATTCCTAATAAGCACATACAGCATCTTAAACAGATAATTAAAGAGCGCTTATTACATTTGTATGGAGACTGAGCAAAATATGGCGGGAAGCCTTGTCAAAACAGGACTTTCCGAGTGCGGAGCACTGGCGTGACAGGCAGGCCTGGGCACTGTTTCCAACCCAGAGCTGCTGCCCGGTCAGCCACTGGCACAGGCACCCTCGCTGGAGCAGGGAGCAGGGAGGCGTGGGGCGTCGTGGACCCTGACGGAGGCCGGTGGGCCCTCGGCGGGTCTCCCAGGGTCTGCCCGTGCTGCGGCTACCTGGTCTCGGAGGCGGGTCTCGGCACAGTACTTCCATTGCTGGAACACGTCCGCCAGCTTGTCCAGGCCCCCGCGGTGGAAGTGGAGGACCTTGTACTGACTCTCCCGGCTGGCGACCACCAGCTGGCCGCTGGTGCAGGCCTCGTCACTGAGTGGCCATGGCAGGGGGAGGAGAAGGGATGGAAGTGTAAACACGGGCTTTTATTTCCAAGTATAATCAGAGACCACTCTCACTGACCTCGGAGGCAGGAAACAGGAAGTCCCTGGGGAGTTTGGCTGCTGGCCCGAGAGGGGGACAGAGTTGCGGCCCAGAAGACGCCAGCACCCCTTTTGCTGAGGAAGGCAAAATAGCTCCCTCCCTCCTGGGGAGGCAGGGACGCAGGGCTGTCCTTGTTAGCTCCCCAGGAGACCAGCCAAAGAGGCCTCGTGTGCCATCCCTCCGGGGGGGGGGGTGGGGGTGGGGGTGGGGCAAGGTAGGTTCTGTCGGCAGAATCAGATTTTGAATCCAGGTGGGCGGCAGCCAGCCAGCCTCCTCCCCGGCTTCCTCCAGCAGGCCTGGGTGGCCCTTTCCGGGGCCCTCCTGGGAAACCGCTGCCAGCCACCAGGGCCACCAGCGCCGCCAGCTGACCCTGGCAGCCCTGCCCCTAGAGGCGGTCTGCAGACCCTCTGGGGTGAGACTCCTGCTTTTTCTGAGGGTCTGTGGTTGATGCCACCTTGTGCCTCCCAGGAGGGACCTGAGGTGGCTACTGGGCGTGGCAGTCACAGGGAGGGTCTGCCCATCACAGAAGAAAGGGCACCTCCCTCCAGAAAGCCCAGAGCAGCCAGGTGGGCAGTGGGGGCAGCCTGAAGCTAACCCCCGACCCCTCACGCCAGCGTCCCAAACAAAAGTTGGCCGTCACCACCCTGACGGTGGACGGGTGAGTTTGGGAGCCACCCCTCCCCCCTTCCTGTGGGGCCGCCTTCATGGGTCCCACTGCTGATGACATCGCGATGCCAGCGCTGCCCACGGGCCGGCCTGCCAGCTCTCACCTGAAGAAAAGGCGCAGGGAGCGCATGTGGCCCAGGTCCACGCGGAACACCCCGCAGATCTGCTCCAGGGCGCCCGACCGCTGCGGCTCGTCCCAGTGCGGCGCCTGCGGGAGGCCACTGCTGTCCGGGAACGGCAGGCGGGCGTCCACGCTGGAGGGGGAGCTGGGGGAGCGGGGCGTGGGATGGCCACCAGCCTCTCTGTCCTCGCAGCCCAGGGGGAAGGACAGGGAGGGCGTGGCGGAGCCATTTAAACACGCCCACCGGGCTCAGGCGCTCAGACACGGCCAGACACCGAGAACCAACAATGGAGGAAAGGACGCCCAGGAGCCACACCCAGTGGCGTTCACCTGTGGTCAAATCCCGTTCTGCCCGGTGACAACAAGGTCATACTGAGCAGCCTTTGCTGTGTGGCCTTAGGCAAGTTACCAAGCCTCTCTGAACCTGTTTTCTCCTTTGCGAACTGAGGATAATAACTGGATTTTGTATAGACTAGAGGGCTGTGGAGTGGCCAGTGCCGGCCCCCAGCCCTTGGGGCCTTTTCCCGACCATCTCAGACAGCACGGGGCTTCTGTTGGGGTGCAGACTGGCTCCCCATGTCCCCGGGGAAACACTGGCTCAGTTAACAACCACCCGGGTTATCAATAATGCTCATGCTGACAGTGAACATCTATTAAACAGTCAGATGGGCCTGGCGCTGGGTCATCCACTCCTCTTGTGCTGTGGTCGTCCTCACAGTAACCCCAGGAAATGAGCAGCGTTAGCCCCTCCACTGCGCGAAAGAGGAACTGGGGCCCAGAGAGGCTGAGGAACTTCCCCCAGGTCGCACAGCCAGCAGGTGGCGGAGCTGGGATTTGAACCCAAGCTTCGTGGCCCATGTCCTCACCAGCATTTTTTATGGTTCCTAAGTTTGAAGTTCAGCAACACAGCGCCATTTATTCTGTGTTAATGAGAAGATGGGTGAGTCTGTTTAGAGCCCCGGATGCAGTGTGTTTTATTATGTGGATTCGGTCACACCACCGGCTGAATGGAGGTGGTCTCTCGGGATTTCATGACCCCCCCACCCCAGAGTGAAGGCACGCTCCCACTGGGGACAGCAGCCCAGCACCTGACGAGACAAGCCTGCCATCTCTGTGCTGTGCTGTCCTGTCTCAGCCCAGAGCGGCAGTGCTGGAGGTGACAGACCCCAGGACCCTCTGCCCGGGTCGGCACCGTGTCTCTGAACGAAGCTACGCCGGGCTGTCTGAGCACCATCCCGCACAATTCGGGGACGTCCCGGAGGACAAAGGCCGCCTGTCTAGGATCCCGCAGCTTCCAGAACAACATGGGGGCCCGGCGTGCGGGCCCAGGCGGCTTTTCTTCCCGCCCCGGCTCTAGGAGTGGGCCCAGCCGCACCCTGCAGGCACCTGGGCTGTCCCGGGAGAGAGAGACTCGGGTGAAAACAGAGTCGGCGGGAAGGTGGGCAGATTAGCTGAACCATGGTGGCTGCAGGGCAAACTCGACCCAAAAAAGCTGAGGGACTCGCCCGCTTTCCCAAGGGGACCCTGACTGGGCTTCGCTATGAGATCACTTTGCAAAACGAGGCAAGTCTCGGGTCTGAGGACAGCCCCCCCACCAGGCCGCTTAACTAGGAGTTTCATAATCTGCTTACTGAGCAGGGAGGCCCCGGTGGCCTGGGGAGCCTGCGCTCAGCGTGGCCGGCCGTCCTGGGCTCTCCTCCAAACCCAGCTGGAGAGGGGCCCTCAAAGGGTGGCATTATTTCCAGCCTCTGCCCCCAACCCCCACTCCCCACCACGCCGCATGCACGCAGCACCCCCTCCGACTCCGGCACGCCCTTCCCAACACGCTGTGTCCCGCTCGCCCCTGCGGGGCAGGCCAGGGGTTCCAGAAACCGGATCCAGGGCGGAGACTCCCTCGGACGGGCCTGGGCGAAAACCCCTGCTCTGGGGCTGTGGCCAGGGGGACTGGTCCCTGGTCCCCGGCGGGGACGGACCAGGGACCAGGAGAGAGGGAGACAGAGAGAGACTGCCCCCCCCCACCCCCCTGCAGCAACTCGCCTCCAGGCAGAAGACTGCTTAAGCCCTTTCCATCTCCTTAGGGGGAAATTATTTACGTGAATTAATTGATTGATGAATTAATTCAAGACACTGTGTTTGGGACCTGCAGCCTGGTTTTCCCAGGTTCACCCCAGAGCGAAGCTGATGGTCCCTCGGTTGTCCATGCCCAGGACCTGTCATGGCGGGTGACTGCTTGGCCAGCTGGACCATCTTCGGATGACACAAGTGTCCCTCAAGACCAGCTGCCGCGGGGTCAGGGCCGTATCTTGGTGGCACCCGCGCCCCCGGCTCCTGGCACGGACAGGCGTTCGAGACCCAAGCCCCGGATGAGAATGGAAACTTCGGAGAATCTTGGAGTTAGAGAAAAAATTGTAAGGAAATAAAACCTCAGGAAAATGGAAATATATGCAGTTTCAGGGTTTTTTTTGTCTTTTTCCACATGTGGAGCGATTTGGTGTTAGAAATATTCATATGTGCTGCACACAATTTGGTTTGTTCATAAAATTATTATGTGTGGCGCATGAAAGCTAAAGGGATGGTTTATGTAGGTAATAACTCCTGACGCGCTGTAAGAAAAATGCTTTGTAGCTAAAGCTAAAAGATGCGAAACTTTAAAAACGTCGAGTTTCTCAGTTTTTGCCCTTTTCTGAGGGTTGCCAAAATGCAACAACAGAAAGAGAAGAGCGAGCCCGCACTGGTACCGGAGACGGAGCAGGGGAGTTCTCTCTCCCTCAGAACGGGCGCAGCAACTGGCCCAGGGTCGGGGACCAGAACTGGCCGCAGAGTCCTTGCAACTCGGCCTGTCCAGAGTGCGGTCGGCCTGTGCGCTGCCGAACCTGGGTGGTCCGCACAGTGGCTGTGGTGTGAGGGACACACTCTGTGAGCCCCAGGGCGGCCTGGAGACCACGGGAGAGAGGCCCCGCTGCCAGTCAGCACCAGAGTCCCCGCAGCCTGGCCAGAGGCCGCCTCAGACCCCCTGCCCCTGGCTGCACCAGCAGCCTGAGCAAACAGCCTGACTCAGCCAAGCCCAGCCAGGAGATGTGCGGGCAAATAAAAAAAGGTAATCGCTGTAAACTGCAACATTTGAACCTGTTTGTTACACAGCAATAGAAGGCTGATACACACACCCAGAAAGGGTCTGCTTTCAGGGAAAGCTGGGGGGGGAAGATACCTCCAAAATGACGGAGTTGTTGTTCTCAAGGCCAGAGAGACTTGAGGGCCAGATTTTAACATTTTCAAATAACCAAACTTATCGATTGGGACTTGTTTCTCCTCGTTCTGAGACTTTCGAGTCCACCGAACAAGTGGACGGAACTCCAGTGGACAGCCCCAGTGTACTCATTAATTTATCGATCGATTCACTCATGCAGATGATTTTCCCCTGCGGAGCCGCACTGGGCTTACACAGACTTCCTGCTGTCACTCTGTGTCCCCTGAGCTCCTTCCTGGGTCCCCAGAGACCACAGCCCCGAACAGGGGTCTTCCAATCACGAGCCCATCCGAGAAAGTCTCCGCCCTGGATCCGGTTTCTGGAACCCCTGGCCTGCCCCACGGGGGCGAGCGGGACACAGAGTGTCGGGAATGCGTGCCGGAGTCGGAGGGGGTGCTCAGTGGGTGCGGCGTGGAGGGCGGTGGTTGAGGAGAGGGGATAGAAGCAACGTCGCCCTTTGGTGGCCCCTCGTAACTGCCAGAACTTGGAAGCAACCAAGATGCCCTCCTGTAGGCGGGCGGCCAAGCCAGCCTCGGCACACCCAGATGACAGAATACTGCGTCACCAAGCTCCTGAAAAGGCACGGGACAAACGTAAAGGCCCATGCCCAGGTGAGGGAAGCCGGTCTGGGAAGGGGGCGCACTCGGCGGGCCCACCTGCCTGACGCTCTGGAAAAGGCAAAGCCGTGCAGACGGAAGAAGAGACCGGTGCCCGCGGGAGCGTGGGGGGCGGGGTGAGCAGCTGCAGCCCCAAGGGTGCGTGGGGCCCCGAGACTCCCCCGTGTGACCCTGTGGTGACGAGCCCACGTCACCCTGCATTTGGCCACGCCCACAGCACGCATGGCACCAGCGTGAGCCCAGTGCCCACCGGAGGCTCCGGGAGACCGGGCCGCGTCGTTGAAGGTGCGTTCACTGCCGCAGACGCACCATCGGGCGGGGGAGGCCGTGCAGGTGTGGGGCGGGACGGCGTGGGAGCTCCGTGCCCTCTGCTCGTTCCTGCCGGAAACCTGAAACGGCTCCCAAAGAGTCCTATTAACAGGAAACAAACGTGAAAGGACCTATAGATGACAAGGATTAATGTCTTTAATGTGAAAAAAGTACGTAACTCAAAAAGAGGAAAATGGATGCCCGACAGAAAAAAAGGGTAAAGGACAAGAAAAGACAGAGCCCTGGAGACTAAACGCCCATAACCAGAGAAGTGAAACAGATGGAAATGGAAGCCACACACCACGTGGGGGCTGCCTGGGAAGTTGGCAGTGGTTTTAAAAATCACAAAATCTCCTGTGGGTGAGGCTTTGGGGAAGCAGGTACGCGTGTCCCGAGGCCGAGGACGGGACTTACCCCGTTCAGCGAACTGGAAACAGGGTGCCAAAGGGTTAACATGCAGCCCTGGCTGGGGTAGCACAGTGGAGCGAATGTGGGCTGCAGACCAAGGGGTCGCCAGTTCGATTCCCAGTCAGGGCACACACCTGGGTTGCAGGCCAGGTTCCCAGTGGGGGCCATGTGAGAGGCAACCACGCATGGATGTTTCTCTCTCTTTCTCCCTTCTTCCCCCTCTCTCTAAAAATAAATAAATAAAATCTTTTTAAAAATAAATAAACTTTGTTTTAAAAAAGCTTAAAATGCTCATTATCCGTTTTGACCCTTTACTTTCATTTCTAGGTATCGACCCCAGGAAAATAACCAGAGATGCCCATGAAAAACACACAGGTAAACTGCTGCAGGAGAAGCACCTGACGCTCATTCGTGATAAAATGGTCATCAGTGAGGAAGGCCGAACTGGTAAAAGGGCGGCCGGGAGCTGGGGTTCCCACAGGCTCAGTGGGAAGGGGCCGAGCGGCCTCCCTCCGCGTCCGGGGAAGGCCAGGCCGGCCGCTCCCGATGAGCCGCGTAAGGCAA